CCCCCCCCTGTGAAAAAAATCTCCCCCCCCCCCCAAAAAAAAAAAAAAGGCAGGCGTCAATGCCGGCGCTGCCACTCACTACCTTCCGGGAGGTCAGTGCACCCCCGGCGCCTCAGTGTCAGTCCCCGCAGCGCCTCTCCCTGACGAAGCTGCTGTGAAGACTGGAATTTGTATGTGAGAAGACACACAGGACAATAAATGGACACTGGAGTGACCCTCGTGCACCCACTCACTCAGCGAGCAGTGAGGAATCCTCCCTTCCTGACGGCCTGGGACGCTGTTATCTGAAGGTAATGTCCCGAGACTGCGGTGAGAGGGAGGCCGGGTCCCAGAACTGGGGCACGACTGCCGCGCATCCTGCCGCCTCATATTTCAGCGTATTTGGTTTCAATGGTGTCTCCACACGTACTTCATCACATATGTTAGAAACATTTACAAAATATAAAGAAGTGCAAAGAGAACCAACAGGTAAATAAACGGGCCCTGAGGCCCAGAGCCAGTCATCCCTGTTGTCTACCACAGGCCTCCCAATGCTTGTCTAGGCACTAAAGGAGGCAGCTCCCTGCCCATGGCCTGCTTGGGTCTTCCTTTCTGCAGGTCAGTGTTTCGAAAACTTCCATTTCCCTTTGAGTGAAACGTTACTTACCATTTTTACCATCTTTAAGAGTCATGTTCCTGGTGTAATAGGTATTTAGTCTTCTTCCACTGGCAGATGAAAATGGAGAGAACTTGTCTGGAAAACAAAATTCACATCAGATTTACACAAACTAAGCCTACCAAATTTATTTTATTTATTTTTAATTTTTGTTTATGTTTCACACATCCAAAGGATCATGGAGCCGGCAGGTAGTTTTATTATTATTATTTTTTTTTGAGAGATTTTCACTGTAGGGCACGTGCACTCACCAGACAGACAGAGAGAGACATAGAGACAGAAAGCGAGAAATCACCCCCCAGGGGGGATGGTCATGCCGCAATCCCTTCTCCTCCATTCTCCTCTCGGGATCTTGGGCACGCACGCACACGCGCCCGGCGTGAGTTCAAGCCACCAGGTCCGGGACACGAACCGCGGTCGACTACGTGGGAGTCCAGCGACATAGCCATTACGCTAACTGCTGGTTCCTGGTAGTTTTATTAGGAGACTGACCCTAAGAACTCTGTCTCTCTGTTTCTGACACCCTACCCACACCCACATTCATCAGCCACCATGTCGTCACAGTGCCGGAGAATGACGTTGTCATCGCTGTCCTGGCAGAGCATGGAGACGGGGGACAGTCTGAGGGACATCTGGGCCAGCTTTGTGCACCAGCACCTGCGGGAAAGCGCAGTTGGAGCTGCTGAGAGAGGTGGTCGTGGGAACAGACAGTCTCCGTGGCAGTGACTGGCCATGAAGCCCTTGGGGTCGATGATCCACTTGTGCCAACCCCGGTCCCGGAAGTTGATGAACAGCTGGTGGCGGTGACAGAGGTGCTTGCAAGATGCCTGGGGAGCAGGGACGGCTGCCCTCCTTTTCCAGGAAGGGCGGCACTGCTCGGGGTCGAGGGTCACCAGCAGCAGGGACGCGTGCAGGGACCGTCTCAGTCTGGCACAGGGGTCCTCAAGCTGAGAAGACTCCCGAGAGTCTCTGTCTTCTTTGACCAGTATCTCCAGGAACAAACCCGAGTTCTGGGGGTTGCGAGTCCAGTCCGCAGTCCCCCAGTAGGTTGAAGGTCAGGGCACCTCGTGGCCACTGAAGTGACTGCAGGGCCATCACCTTACCTGGCCCGGGTGTGGAGTGGCCCTGCCCGCGAGGCTCCTGAACCAGGGACAGAGCCGATTCCAGTTCTGGTCCCAGGTGGCTGTAAGAACTGGGCCCCAAGTCCAGGCCCAGCCGGGCCATCGTTGTCTGTCCCTGTTCCTTGATGGCAGACAGGTTAAAGTCGAGGGCCTTCTGTAGACAAGAGGGAGCCTGGGAACGTCTCTTTGGACGCAGACAGAAACCTTAGTCTCCGTACTCTGAAGGCCAAGCATAGTCCCTGGGTCACAGTGGGTACCTAATACGTGCTTCGTAGACAGATACACACCGAGCTCTTCTCCCCAGATGCTGTGTAATAGCTAGCCTCTGCTCTGGGCTTGTGCCAGAACCGCTCAGAAGCCTACTAAATTTAAACCTTACCAAAAAAGACAAACAAAAATCAAAACACAGTCCTAAACTGGCAGCTTCACTGTGTTTTCGCCATCCTTATTGTTTTCCATTTAAATTTAATGAGCTTTTTTTCTTTTCTTTTTAGGTTTTTGCCAGAGGGTGCATGCGCTTGCTGGAGAGAGACAAAGACAGAGGGAGATAAGGTGAAACACCACTCCTCTGGAGGGTGGCTGTGCCCCAATGTCTTCTCTCCATTGTCCTCTCGGGACCTTGGGCACGGGCACAGACGAGCCCCACGCACGTAACTTCCAAGCTGCCAGGTCGGGGACTCGAAACACAGCGGGCCATGTAGGAATCCAGCACCGTAACTATCGTGCCACCTGCTGGTCACTTCAATGAGATATCGTCATTAAGGGAAGTCCACATGAAAACTCCAGCTTCTCCCCCGAAACTCTCTCTTCTTGGTGGCGTGAACGGCACCGCAGTAGCCCTCTTGCCTGGTAAATGCAGTCTAGGTCACCACATGTTCTACCACTCACAACTTTTCTATCATCGCCTGGTTCCTTACACTCTTCAGCTACTGGTCTACCCCTTACAGGCCTGTAGGTGGACGTCTTCTGTCGGACAAAACCTAGGCATGATGGCACAGCTACACTGAAGCAACTAGTTATAAATTAAAAAAAGAAGGAAGATGAGCGCTACGAGGCCACGCCACTCTGAAATGGTTAGGTTGGGGCTCAGCAATCCCACACGGGCATGTTTACTTGTATTTTCACTTCATGTGAAAGGACAGAAGGACAGAGCACAAACCCCTGCAGATGCGGTTGTACAGCTGAAGTGTCAATGCCATTATCCTACAGAGAACTAGGAAGGGAAGGGTCCTGATAACAGCATCCTTTAACAGAATAGAATTCTTAAAAAAAAAGAGAATTCTTTAGTAATGTAGGATAATAATCCTAATAATAATAGATATATGAATTAAATTTTTTGAAAATATTCTTTCCTTTTTTTCATTACATAAATTAACCCATTTATTGTAGGCTAGTGATATTCCAAATGTCTGTGGAGCTTCTAGTGGTCTCAGTCCCTTCGGTCTTCAGAGGGAAGACTTCACGGTGACAACCCAAGTGGCGCTATAGGCCCAGGCTCCACCGGCTACCGTGTT